CTTGGAGGTTTTTAAGCAGAGGTTGGATGGTCATCTGTCATGGATGCTTTAGCTGAGATTCCTGCATTCCATCTCTTAAGATTCTATGATTCTTGTGCTCCAATTCTTGTCATTGCGGGTTTCCCACAGGCCTTTTGTTTGGCCACAGGAAGCTGGACTAGATGGGTAGTTGACCTGATTCAGCAGGCTCTTCTTATGTTCTAATGTTCAAGTAAGGCTACTGTGTTCATTATTTGGGGTGTAGATGCATATAACTGGCCCCTGTTATTAATGAATAAAAATGAATGGGTGAATCAAGTAAGGATTCTTCTCATTGTGTGATGGAACTTCCACCCCCCCCCAATTGTTTCCAGATGTGCTCTTGAGGGTTGGAAAACCTCCAGAGCACTGAGAGCACATTTTGAGGGTGCTGGCTCATGGGAGGGAAAGTTCCTCATGGGAGCAGAAGTTGTTCTGTTTGCACAATAGCTTAGTAGGTTACCACCCTAGATTTTTCCCCTTAGAACTCTTGGTTTGGGGCCATTTTCAGGTTTATGCATATTGGTTGATTAAAAATGTGAATATTTATAGATTAAAATTTCTTTGAGTTGATTTCATACTGTATTTACTCGAGTCTAATGTGCTATCGAATTTAATGCGCACCTTAATTTTTGGAATGTAATTTGGCCAAAAAAGTGAGCATTAGATTTGAGTAAATACTACCCAATTTGTAACCTAATTCTTGCTTCCAGTAAGCTCATTTGTCATTAATATCCATAGGTGAGTTTTGCATTGGGGTAAATGTTGATGATATGTTCCTGTAAAATGGGGGGACAGCCTGGGGTTTTGAGTCAAGTCATATTTTAATAAATAGTGTGTATTCTTTCTCACACAATCATAGTGGAGGTATCTCTGAAGGGCATAACAGAATTCTGCTTTACAACCTTCCTTTTTAATGTGTACAAGCAGGAGTCTTTGTGTGCCACTCTTAGGGAATTCAAGTAGAGGAGTGAAGGAGTGGACAGGAGATAGGAGGCACACACAGAGACATCTCATTGACTGTAATGCTTAGTGCTTAGTACCTCTCTTCTATTGTGCATGGAAGTGTGGGCGGCAGAAAGCTCTGTTATACCATGTGGATATTTCACCCATGCAGGGATGGAGCTTGCCCTCTGTTTCTGAAAGTCCATACAGGCTTTTAAAAAAAACCTTAGTATTCCCTATCTTTTGTAAAACAGTACAGCTTTGGGTTTCTTAGTTGTCCCCTTAATGTGCAGCATTGTACTGAAACGATTGACATTGAAGAGATGATGAAATGTGCAGCAATAGTACTGGCAAGGAAAACAAGTAGAACAACATTCATTCTGCCAGTAAGCTTGGACTGATAAGCAGTGCAAATATTAATTTGCAAGAAATTGAATTTGTCTACTACATCTTTAAAATTCCACTAACTTCTTTTGAGTAATATGACCTATTAATTGGCAAGCTGTTGAAAACTTGAAACATTGGATGCCACGAAATTACTTTTAAAATATGCAACTTCTATGGTGAGATACAAATCTTGGAAATAAGTGTCTTTCAAATAGAGCAACACAATTCAGTAATCCTGCACTTCTTTATCTTCTCTCTGGAATCACTGTAAGACTGACTTGGATTTATCTGTGAATTCTTTTAAACTTTTTCTATTGGTAGATATACTTGGTGTATTTGAATCTTAAAGATTGTTCCTAAGTGAAAGGCTGAACTATAGTTAACATTTTACAATTTATTTGCATAACAGACGGGCGTTTCAGAGGAAATACAGAATGTTTTTCTATGGCTAAAACTTTTAAATACTTGAGGTTTTTCTAATCTGTTTAAATTTAATATCTGTGCATTCCTTTTGAATAGGTTGCATCTTTTGTGGCACTGAACATTCAGAATTTGAAAGAAAATTGAAAAATACAGGCAACCCCCTGTTTGTGTGGGGGTTGTGTTCTCTGTCATTGCATGCATAAGCCTGTTCTGCCTCCTTCCAGGGCTGAAAACGGCACATGTGTTGGTGGTCGTGCATGCCTTGGTCATGAGCAAAATGGTAGTTTGCTGTGTTGTCGTTTATGAAACATGTAAAGTAGTAAATCAAACACAGAAGGTCAGTTTACATATGCTGAGCTGTGGCTAGCTGTTAAAAGGGATGAGTTCTCTTTCTCAGCACAGCCCACTTACTGAATTTCTTCCTGATTTGTAGAAAATCAGTTCATTGTTACAAGGAACTAACAAAACATGGCCTACATGCACTCTACGTGGGGCTACCTTTGAAGGTGACTCGGAAACTACAACTAATCCAGAATGCGGCAGCTAGACTGGTGACTGGGAGCGACCGCAGAGACCACATTGGCTCCCAGTACGTTTCTGAGCACAATTCAAAGTGTTGGTGCTGACCTTTAAAGCCCTAAACGGCCTTGGTCCAGTATACCTGAAGGAGCGTCTCCACCCCCATCATTCTGCCCGGACGCTGAGGTCCAGCGCCGGGGCCTTCTGGCAGTTACCTCATTGCGAGAAGCAAAGCTACAGGGAACCAGGCAGAGGGCCTTCTCGGTAGTGGCGCCCACCCTGTGGAACGCTCTTCCAGCAGATGTCAAAGCGATAAACAACTACCTGACATTCAGAAGACATCTTAAGGCAGCCCTGTTCAGGGAAGTTTTTAACGTGTGATATTTTACTGTATTTGTGGTTTTTATGGAAGCTGCCCAGAGTGGCTGGGGAGGCCCAGCCAGATGGGCGGGGTATAAATAATAAATTATTATTATTATTATTATTATTACATTTGCCCTGCAGACCAGGATCAGATCCTAGTTTGCAATCGTTATTTGCAGGACCAGCCCAAACCATGGTGGTTAATGGGGGGGGGAAGGTGGGACAGTAGACTTTGTTTTCAGACTTGTGAAATGTTTACATGAGGTGGTGTAGTAATTGGTTCCCTTGTTTCCCTGAGTGACACTTAGCAGATAAAATCAGTGAGATAACTAACTTCATCAGGATCATTGCCAATAAATGGTTGACTCAAGGAAAGTTTGTAAGCGGTTCAGATGCATGGAGACACAATTGTGGGTAAAAAATATTTTAAAAGGTGTTGATGAAAGAGTTTACTAGATCATTGTGATATAATGTTTGGTTTCCTCCTTAAATAGAAGTCATTCACTATTGGCAGTTGAATAACTTTTATCCCAGGGCATGTGGTATACTTCTAAAGGTATCATTCATTGCCATGTTTGACAGCTCTGTTGAAAGCCGTTAATGGTGCTGTTTAATACAACCATGATCACCCAAATCATGTGTTTTCAAGGCAGAATAGTATTATCACCTAACAGACTCTGGGATATGTCAGTCAGTAGAGCACGAGTTTCTTAATATTAAGAGTCATAGGTTCAAGCCCACATTGGGCAAAAGATTCCTGTATTGCAGGAGGTTGGACTAGATGAATCTCATGTTCACTTCCAGCTCTACAATTCTATGGTTTTATGATTTTAGGAACATAAGAAATACCCTGCTACATCAGGCCAAAGGTCCATCTTGTACAGCATTCTGTTCTCACCATAGCCAACCAGATGCCTCTGGAAAGGCGTTGTGTTGTTGTTGATATTTATTCCCCTCCGATCTGACTGGGTTTCTCCAGCCATTCTGGGTGGCTTCTAGCAAAAGAAAAATAATAATGAAATGTCAAACATTAAAAAGTTCCAATTACAGGAACTTCAGATGTCTTCTAAAACTTGTGTAGTTCTTTATCTCCATCTCCTTGACATCTGGTTGGAGGGTGTTCCACAGGGAGGGCGCCACTACTAAGAAGGCCCTCTGCCTGTTTCCCTGTAGCTTCACTTCTCGCAATGGGGGAACTGCCAGAAGGCCCTCGGAAGTGGACCTCAGGCTGAAAGATGGGGGTGGAGACTCTCTGTAAGGTATACTGGCCTGAGGCCCTTTAGGGCTTTAAAGGTCAGGTACCAACAAGCAGGACCTGAGTCCAATAGCATTATCTCAATTTGTGATTCCTTCCTAGCAATTGGTATTCAAAGGCACAGTTCATCCAAGAGGGGAAGTAAAACAGAGAGCTGTTCTGGGTGGTTGCTATTGTTAGTCTTATTCTCCATGACTTTGGCTAATGCTCTTTTAAAGCCACATTGGTGGCCATCAGTAAATCTTGTGAGAGCAACTCCATAGTTCGAATATGTGCTGTGTGAAGAAGTTCTTCTGTTTATTCAAACATTCAACTTCATAGGATGGCATCAAGTTCTAGTGTTATGAGAGTGGGAGAAAAGGCAGCCAAAAATATCACGTGGATGGAGAAACTCCCCTATGAGCAAAGGTTATAACATCTGGGGCTTTTTAGTTTAGAGAAAAGATGAGTAAGAAGTGTATAAAATCATGCACAGTGTGGAGAAGGTGAATTGACTAAAGCTTCAACATAAATGTTCAGGCCTCCCTTTCTGCTGTTTAGTAGGAACGTGGGAGAAAAAAGACTAATGATTTCCTCTTTGCTATATTTTCTCCAGCTCTGATCTGTTTGGTATTGGAGGAGTAAATCCGTTTTTTAAGCCTTTACCCTTGGTAGTTGTGTTTAATGTGTCAAATGGTGGTAACTGGCAGGTGAACCGTAACTTCTAAGTCAACACAAATAACCACAATGGTCAACATAGGATTGTCCTGCACAGAGGTTACATCCATCTACAGCTGCCTGCTAAAACAGCTCTAACTCTTAATGCTGGAGGCAAAAATTGAGATATTGTAAATGTGTTCACACCCTGCTTACAAGCTTTACTAAAGGCATTTCACTGACCATTGATGGAACCAGAACACTTTTGGGCTGCCATAGTAAGGCAGTTCTCACCTTCATAACATCCCTTTTCAAGATAGTGAAATTACATGGCTGGATTTGAATTTAAAGATGCCTCACAATTTCATAAGTTGAACTTGAAATGTTAAACTGTATTTTTGTTTCTTGATTTCTTTTTATTTTATACTAATCTAATATTTTATTCTTTGTGCAGATTTACACTTCGTAGTTAAGTGTAAAAAATGGAGATTAGAGAGTGAAAACAGGAGAGAAATCAGGCAAGGATAAACTCTGCCTCAAGGTAATGTGTTTGTATATATGTTACTTAATGTGTTTTTGTATATGAAAATTTGGTGTTCTGCTTTTGCGTATCCACCCTGGGTTATCTTGTGAGGCGAGGCTCTTGTATGTTAATGCTATTGGATGGCTGATAGTTTGAAAGAGTTAAAAATAATTTTAGATTTGGTACTAGTACAATGACAGCTGAGTGAGTCATCTTGTACTGATTATTTACAGTAAAAATGTTGTTTTGTTGTGTGAGATTCTAAGGTTTCTGGAATTTAGCAAGTTGAGTGGAAATGAGCCAATCTTGGAAACATCCTGGGACATCTCTACCAAAAACAAACAAACAAACAAAAAACCTTAAACAAAAATGGCCTCATAAATGCTCTAACTAATGTTAATATCCAACAGAACAAATTCTAACTGGGAAGATGATAGCATAGAACTCTAAACCAGCAAAAATTACATAATTAACCCCAAAGGCCTTTTGAAAGAGCCAGGTCTTCACCAACCACTCAAAGCAATATAATGAATGGGCCTGGGAGATCCCATTTTGGCAAGACATTCCACAGAGTAGGTTCTTCTTGTCAGGAAGAGATGTAATGTAGTTGATGTACCAGCTAATGCTGGAAAAAAACACACCTTACAGCTACCACCTGCACATCAAACAGGAGTTCCAGATCAACAAGTATTCCCAAACTACCACCTGCAAGCATTTAAAAGCTTCATACAAAATATGAATATGTTTGCATAGCTTCCAACAGCAACAGCTAAATATTAGGAAACAAAAATTCACCCAGGTGGTTAAACAACCACCAGTGGTATCCAATTAGCGTGTTCCATCAGAACAAGCATTCCTGCTTGCACAGCAGATTTCCCCCCATCTCGCCTCCACAACTCCTAGGAGTTAAGGAAAACTCCTAGGAAAGACTAAGGGCACACATGAGGGAAAGAGAGGGAGGAAGTTCCATTAGCCAGACAGAAATCCTTGCAGTGGCAGGACACAATAGCTGGATGCTGCGCTATGTTTTACTTGCAGTTGAGTTACAGGTTTTTTTTTAAAATAATAATAAGAATTGATCTTGTTGCAGGGCATTAATACCTCTTTTCTTCTGGGCCTTCTTTTATGCAGAAATCTAGCTTCCCTACCAATGACTGCATTTTCACTAGGACAGTGTTTTTCCTCCAGCTAATGCAGGAACTGCAGCAGTGTAACAATGACTGTTCAAGTGTCACTGTCACTTACAGTGTAATGGCCTCACATTACAGGCAGCAAGTAATATAACTCCCCCCTTCTCTCACTTGCCTCATCTTTTACAATAAAATAATTTTAATGATAATTTTACCTTTTTGCAGGCTGAGCACTATTCCACTCTATAACCCCAGTAAGAAAGGTCCTTTATCAGAGTAGCCACTCATCTAGTCGCCTGTGGTGTGTAAGAACTTTCTTTGGGCTACCAGGCTTGGAAACATTACAAATGTTGGTTCTTCCTCCTCCGCCTGTTTTATGCTACAAACAACTAGCATGAGTTTGTGTAGGCAGGAATGCTCGTTATTTTTTATTGACACATCTGGCTGTGCCTGTGTTCCTAATTAGGTAGACGTCTTTTGAGGGAAGTGCCAAAGAGTGTTTCTGGTTAAGCTATCCTTGAATAAATTTTGGTCACTAACTCAGCACCAGTACATGGCACACTTGAGTGAATGATGGAACCCCCAACAGGGCTCACTGCTACCACCATAGCAGATGTGGCTCAACCTGGGGGGGTTGGCTGACCCTATGTAGTGCATCTTTACTCACCACCACCTTGTTCATTATGCTAGTGCCATTCCCAACACATGTATGTTAGGGCCAGTGAAATTAGCATGGTGGCGGCAAGAAGGGAATGGAGGTGGAGCCCATTGGTATTGATGAGTGAAGCTTCTGGTCCATGCACCTGTCCTCCCTAGCACTGCCCCAATGTAATCAACATTATGGCATGGGCAAGTTAATGTGTGCCGTGTTACTCTGGTACTTGTTTGATGCACCACCTGGGACAGGCATGCACCTGTCCTCCAATTAGCAGGTGCAGGGGGTGGGCATCATTGAGAGGGAACCACTGAGGGTAGCTTGCCCTGGAACTCCCAAACCATGGCCCCAGTTTGGTCAACTGGTGTACTGTCGAACATCTGCAGTATGTGCCTAGTTAGTGAATGTAGTTAAGATGTAAGCATCTTGCTGTTCCTTAAGTTATTTGATCAGTATCATGCAAGCTATTTAATGAACTGGAACAACTTGGAATGTGTACAGAAAAAATTCCAAATTACTGCTTTCATCTTGGATGTTAACTGCCTCATAGTTCATTTTGTTCTGTAGTTCTCTTATTTTGATTCCACGTTATATGAACACTTCATTGTGATATCTGTATTCCTGATTAGTCTTCCTGGAGGTGCTCCATTTTCTCCCTCATTATTACTTTGAGTCTTCACTCCTCCTCATCCCAGCTGAAATATTTTCTGCATCTTCCAAGTTGTTGACTCATTCCATTCTTGTCACCCCCTGGCTTCACTTATAATCTTAATGTATTATAGCAGGCACGTCCAAGCGGTAGATCACTGGACGTCTGTGGTAGATCACTGGTAGATCACTGGCTCCCCTAAGAAAAGCTCAACAACTTAGACCTGAACCCCCCAAAACAGGGCTTTCCGTCCTTAAAAAAGCTCAAAATGTTTGACCTGAACCGCTAAAAATGGGGTAGATCACTCCCAGTTTTTAAACTCTGTGAGTAGATCGCAGTCTCTTTGGAGTTGGCCACTCCTGTATTATAGCAACCCTGAACCTCTGCTGATTTTTGTCTATTAGGCTTGCTTTTACATTTCAGCCACACAAAAACTCAGGCAACCTAGAGTCATTATCATAAGTCCAGGACACTTTCAACTAAGCAAAAGTATTCAAGGAGGGTACAGAGCACAGCCAGCGAGGGGTGTAGCCTGAAAAGGACTATGGCCTAGAGATAATCCTGTGGAGCGAATAGAGCGGCCTGGAAGGCCTCATTTGGCCCTAAAGCCTGTATCCAAAGAAATCACACAACACAAGGCTTTCAACCTGCAGAAATGGGACAACTTAGTTGGATGTAACCTGAGGCTCCCTAGTCTGCCTTAAATTATTGATACATTTAACTCATAACCCACCTACTCTCAGCAACCAGAAACATCATAACCAGACACTGGAGAGACATGTCAGGAGTAAGCATGGACAAATGGTAACAAATAGTATGGAAAACGGCTTCACTAGAAAAATTAACCAATAAACTGAAACTGACACGGGGACAAATAGAAGAAGACGCCTTCACCCCAGTATGGCTCCCCTTTATCATATACATAGCCCAACAAGACAACGACAAGAATCCACCAACAGCATACAAATCAATATGGCTAACCTGATCCAAAACATCCACCTACCCCACTCACACATGAAAACAAAGTTCATCACAGCCAATCACGAATGAACAATCACACCCTAGGCCAACCCCCAACCTCTGTCAGCACCAGAGGAACACAATGAATAGCAAAGAGAACCTGCACAAGCGACGCTGACACAAAACCCCACACATACATTAAGTAAAATAGAAACATTGTCACCCAACCCCACCCTCACTCACCATTCTCCCCCTCCATCTCTTCCCCCCCTTTTCTTCCTAATATAAAACTAATATCTGTAACTTGAAAAAGGAGACATCGCACATACTTTTGTAAACCAAGAAATCTTTAATAAAAATACATTAAAAATTATTGATACATTTTACTATGAAGATAAAAATCTTTCTCTCTTACATATAATCCATCTAACTTCGTAGAACTAGTGATATGCATTGGAATCAATTATAGCTTGGTGTAAATAGTATTTGTACTTTGGCTGTATCTGTGCATAACAAAGAGAATGACTTATACCATCTCTTCAATTTATTGCTGCCTTATGGACTTCTCAGTATAAATCTTGTAACTAATTTTAAATACAATAAATAAAAGCGTATTATAAAATATTTATGGTAACTTTTTTTTTTTTAAGTACTGAAAATTAACAGATTACCTTGACTCTCTTCCTACATCCGCTTTAGTGTTCATTTCAATCCCTGGCATCTCCAGTTAGGATTGGGAGAGACTCCTGTCTGAAACCCTGGTGATCCATTGCCAGTCAATGTAGATAGACAGTACTGAGCTAGATGGACCCAATGGTCTGAATCCGCATAAGACAGCTTTCTACATTCCAGTCTCAATCTTATTTCTACTTCTAAATGTTCCTTTTTATTTATTCAAGAGACTGTAAATAGGTAGTGAGGGTGGCATACCTGGCTTCTAGGTCTCTCATTGCCCATTTTTTTAAGGAAGCAATATAGCATTGTTAGAGATCACAGTTGTCAGCAATTTATGCCCATTTGAACAGTTTTGAGAACTTTTTCTAAAGGGAGCCATTCTTCTTTCTGCTCTTCCCTTTCCATCCAGTCCCCACTGTAGCAATATATAATTGCTATCCAGAAACAAATTGATAATAGTAGTTGTAATCAGTTATGCACAAATGTTTTTTGAACCAATGATGTACTGTTGCACAGTTTGGCTTAGCATTGTTATTAAGCCATCCTCTTTTGGGGTTAAAAACCACACTGTGTGGTGGTGTCACATCATGGTCCAGGCTAGTTACATCCTTGAGCAAGGAATTTTTTTGCAGAATACTGTATATGACTAAGGGAATAAAAATAAAAGCTGATAATACTTAGGGTAGGGTAGGTGTTGCTGGCAAGATGTTTGGCTATAACCCCTGTCATTCCTGACCATTGGCCATGCTGGCTGGGTTGGATCAGTGTTAGAGTCCAATAACATCTCAGGAGATCATGTTGGTAGCTGTTTTTAAAACTGTAACACCTCTTCCATTTCTGATTTACAAATACTGTGTTTTAACTGTTTTTCATGCCAAATAGCCTCTGCTTAGTGTAGTGTTTTTTTTTATGCCTGGGACATGGTGTAGAGATGCCCTTCTAGATGTTT